AACGCTTTGGAAGAAACAACACCATAAAAGATAGCGGAAACCTGCTTTGCAGCTCCAGAATTAATTCCTACCACATTTAAAAAGGCAAGCTGATCGAAGTGCACTTCAAGTTCACTGTCGTCATTTTTTATCTTTCTCACGCACCATTACTAAATTTCATAAAACGGTTAAAATGCAATACTTACTATTTCGCTATTAGACACCCCTTACACAATAACTAAGTGATTTGGTCAGGTTTCTCGACTACAATAACAAGACATTGGGAGCTGTTACAAGAGATACACATCTGGATTAGCCGGAAAACGTTCAGAGGTCTGATTGACTGATTTATATGTAATGTTTAACGACCCAAAACTAGCCTATGGCTATGAGAGATGCTGTAGCGGAGAACTCCGGAAATTTCTACCACCAAGTGGTTCTTTACGTGCACCCAAATTGGAGCGCACGGGCCTACAGCATTTTCGCCTCCACCAAAATTACAGCCGCCGCAGCCGGAATTTGATCCCACGACCTGCGGGTCAGCAGCCGAGTATACCTTAGGCCACTAGACCACCGCAGGCGTCCATTCAGGCATCTGACAGCCCCTGAGCCTTGACGTTCTATATTTAGGACATGAAGATCGACCACTGCTGCAGGTGATACGTTAGTGTTATGGAATATCCACTTTGCAAATAGCAAGTTAATCGTCTTAGAAATAACTTGAAAAAATACGATAGCTACTTATATAACAGTTAACCAGTAAGGTGTCATTAATCATTTAGTTCTGGTGAGTGTCCTTGTTATCGCATTTTGCTATGTGATTTTCCACTTCGCAGAGGTCGAAAGCAGGCGACGACCAGAAAACAACTACCTATGCTTGCGCAGGTGCATTGCACATAGTTCACACACGTTTTTCAATTTGTGATTTAATTATGAATATAGGAACCACGCAACCTGAAAGTAGTTAGAGCATAACCATGCAAGCAAAAATCAAGAATAAAAATGAGCGCTGGCTTTGGTTGCGCTGTCCGTACATTGAGTTATGTCCTACCAACTCGCTTAAGTTTCCACACGTCATGACTAAATTTTGTCACATTCAGCAGCAAAAGTTCTTCATTTGCTTTTTATAGGACGCCAGGGCCTAAAAGGTTAACGTGCACTGACATCGTACAGTACGCGGATTCTACCAATTCGCCTTCATCGAAACGCAACCACCACGTCCGGATCGAACCCGTGATTTTCGGGTTGGCAGCCGAGCACCTTATCCACTGAAGTGGACTTCGTGTCGTTTTTTTTAAGTCAGATATTTCGTCCATTCAATATACTATGCTTCGCACCTCATTGTTTGAATCTATGCTGCTACTGCACAATCCAATGACGTTGCGGTAATATCATATTGTTCTCGCACAGTATACCGGAACGCGACAAAAGCTCACACGTTAACAATGTGGCCACACAAACTAAGTTGTACGTGTCCAAGACGCGTTACCTGACCACTTGCAGCGGTGACGGAGCCACGAAAAAAAATACTCGTTTTTGTAGCGATTCTGTGCGACGATACTCCGCGCATGCCTTTTATTTTAGTGGACTGTGGGAGATTTCCAGGATGCTTGGCCTGCTTTTTAAGGTTGTGATCGCTGTTGCGATAAGTTATAGGTATTGTCACAAGAGTGTTCTTCGGCAGAGTTTCAGCAAGAGACGCGCGAAGGCAAGCAGAACATTTGCAGAACAAAAAACAGGAGGCCGAGATCACGACACATGAACGTCGTCATCTTTTCCCTCGCTGGCACAGAGCTGGCATCAATACAATGTAAATTTATTACATCAATACATCACAGAAACACGCAATAATTTTCACTCCGCTAATTTCAACTTACAGTCACCTAAAACTGACGTCCTCGTACCTGTATAGCCTTGTGTATTTCTCTGGGGGAAACACACCAAAATGTCGAGGTGACATCTCTGGATTCTGCCTGCTCTGTGCGCCACACAATGCCACTTATTCCTAAGGCCAACTGAATAATTGAAAAACCGCTTCATTAGAACAATTTATAGCCCCATTCGAGTTCAAATTAAGGACTTTTACTCTCTTACATTTATTGCAGTGAATAAAATGAGGTATTATAGATACAAAGTAATAGCAAATTAAATGTGCTTTTACATTGTACCCGGTGCGAGCCCGTGCAGGAATCGATAGACGCTTTCGAAATTGCAAAGTTAGCTTTTCTGCTATGCAGTTTGAACAAGTAATGGTGGATGGTTCCTTTCTGCCTTCTATAGCGCGGTTTGCTTGTGCAATGGCGTGCAACACGTAGTTCGGCTCGCTTGATATAAACACTCATAATAGACAAGCTCCAGCATGAATAACCAAGAACGTGTCTCCAATCAAAGGATGACTGGGGCCACCATTACTAGGGCAAATGATCACCATCAGCCCGACTGTGCCCACTGCAGGGCAAAGGCCTATCCCATGTACCGCTAGTCAAATCGGTCCTGTGCCTGCTGCTGCCATATCATACCCGCAAGGTTCCTTACCTCAATAGCACTTTGACTTGGGCAAGTTAGTACATAATCGGATAGGCTTCAGCGTGAGTTAGACGAAGACCGGGGAGACACACAGAACACAGCGCTCGTCCGTGTTTCTCCTTGGTCTCCGTCAAAATCGTGCTGAAGCCTATTCATCTCATCTGCCCATTTGACTTTCTGTCTCCACTCAGACAGTTGCTTTCTCTGGGAATCCAGTCATTTACCCTTTATGACCAGCGGTTGTCCTGCCTACGCACTAAGTGCCCAGCCCATGTTCAAATCTGCTTTCTGGTTTCAACTATGACATCCTTAAACCCGGTTTGTTCCCAGACCAACTCTGCTCTTTTCTTGTCACTTAAAGTTGCACCTATCATTTCCTTTCCATCTCTCGCTGCCTTGCCCAAATTTAAGCTGAATCATCTTTGTAAGCGTCCATGTTTCTGCTCTGTCGGTAAGTACTGTCAAGATCCAGTTGTTATATACCTACCTCTTGAGAGATAGTGGCAATCTACTAGTCATGATTTAAGAATGCTTGGCGAATGTGCTTCACCCCGTTTTTATTCTTCTAGTTACTTCAGTCTCACGGTTCGCATCCATGGTTAATACCTGTACTAAGTATACATACTCTTTTACAACATTCTGGGCGCTTGGACAAATATGCAGTGCTAGAAAGCACACTTGCGAAATACAAAAGGGCCCATTCTGCAATACTAGCGAGCCTGAAATACAATGTGAAAGCATTCGGGCAGCTTCGGATGAAGAAGAGAGCCTTTTTTATCAAGGCTGACTATTACAGCACAATATGACTTTTTCTGTACTCTATTTCATGCCATAACAACTATATGTGTGAACTTCTCACCTCAATTAAATATCAGGCGTTTTTTTTAAAGAGCCAAATGCACAGACATAATTCAGGCTAAATTTCACGGGAACGAAAAGCACGCCTAAGTATATTCAATTCTCTTACAGTTTTAATCAAAATGGGGCAATTACTTATTGTACCATAAACCCAAACCGCAGTGTCTAATCAAAATGAGCCAAGTACTACAACTATTTCAATAAAACTGAGTCACATTCAATAAATGATCACTACGCCTAAAATAGTGACCAAGACAACCAATATGATCACGCCCAAAATGTTTCATTTGTGCCCTAGTGTCGTTGTTATCGTGTTCACATTCCACAATTAGGTTTTCGAAGGGTGAGATGGCACTTCCTGGAGCGCGTGATATTCAATGACCGAACATAACTAGGTTTCAAAAATAAAAGGCTGACTTTTCTACTTATTTTTGTTTCTTACTGATTCTTTTTGAATTCAGCGCTACAATATCGTGCCCTCCATTTGCTCTAACACAATAAATTTGAAACGAAATACCCATAAAGCGAAGATATTGCGCATTTATGTATTCCCCGAAGAAGGTGTCCGAAACAGCAAGGCTTAAAACAAATTTGAACACTTTTTAAGGCCTTCAATAGATGCCAATAACAATAAAACACTGATTACAGTTCAGAATAGTGCGTTTGTTCCAGGAAGGTCCTGTCGCTCTTTAAGTATAGTATTCGCCATTACGCCCATGCGACGAAGCACCGACGGATGCTCAAGGATGACGTTAATTCTATCGCAAAGCATTGCTACTTCTTACATTGGAATCACTTTACACTTTATTCTGAGCTAATTCATCCCTGAATGGAAAGGCGCAATATATATCCTCCAAATGCAAATTTTTCTCTTTCATACTGACAATACTGGGCCATGTGGGTTTCAGCCACAATGCATATTTGTGGTATTTAGAGCGAGTATCATACTCGCAAAAAGTAGTTCGAGCAGGCCCGACCATTTTTGTCAGTACAAAAAAGTGCGTTTTTCTTAGTTTTAGTAAAAGTGCATCTGGCTCTTTTAGAAAAAAAACGCCTAAATATTACGCATGCTCTGTTGTACCACTAACCAATATCTTTCACAAAGCATAAGAGAAAAGCTGTAGTGCCGTGCGGTTATCGCGACAATGTAAATATCATGCCCCATGGAGCTTCGCTAAACTTTACGTATTCATACAATGTACTGTCTTTCCTTAATGCGCACATTGCCTTTATACTGCCATTTCGCATTTGCTCGAAAAGCAGGCTATGTTCGATAAGCCTGCAGGGTAAATATTTGAAGTCCTGCAGTAACGCTTCGTACATTTTTACATTATGCTTGCTGAATTCTACGACACAGCTTTATTGTACCGTGTGTCTGGTAGCATGTAATTTTGTATGCTGTCTATAACCTTTTATAACATATATCTACAATAACTGATGCAAACTAACAATTACATTACAGCATACCAAGAATTCAAAAACTGGGATGAACTCATTCAAATATAAGGAACGATTGTTGTGGCTTTGTGAATCGCTTACCAGAGATGTATAAACAAATTAAATGTACTTCCGCTTGTGCTGCATAAAAGTTACATTAATAGCGTTTTCGAATTGCATATTCAAAGCATATTGCTTACCTGAGTCTCCACTTTGGTTAGTTTGAGAACCGTGTCGTATTTCTGCAGCCCCTCTACACGCTGAGCGACAACGAAGTGGGCGAGTTCCTTATACTTAGGGCTCGACGAGGGTTCTTTTGTCGACCAACCTCCAGGAATCGCTAAGGAAACAGCGATGAGTGCTGTTACGAGAAGTGCAATGCTAACTGCCATACGAGCCATGGTTACTCTGCGCAAAGCTTCAAATTCGTAGGCAACAACCGTGCGTGTTTCTGCCAGTGGCAGGCTCTGTTGTGGGCACAGAGACTTCTTCCTTTTTATCATCAGCCGGGACTTACCAGGCTTTGTCAATACCTCGATAATACAACGACAAGGCCACGATCAGAGAGGTGATAAGCCGACCGGAAGAGAGATATGAACATAAAAGCAAAAACAAAAGGCAAACGCAGCGATATCAAGATAAGGCAAAACTGGTGATATTGCCAGGTGATACGAGGAACAGCCGCAGCTTTCTACGTCGAGTTCACGGCTGTTGAATTTCGATGCAGTTTTTGGAGTTACTGTGTAATATGAACGCTCGTAGTAAATTTTATCGTACCCTAGTAAGGGTGTAATCATGCAGTCAAAATAATCGAGGTATACACGAGAAACTTGAGTACACTGTAAATTACCAAAAACACTGAGAAGATATTGCTGAACATAGATTTTGAAAGCTACTCAGAGCGCCACAATCTAGCGGTACCGATTTTTTTAGTAAGATGGCCTTTCTTTGTGGCCGTTTACCTTATTATGAATTATTGTTATTGACTTATGCTGTGGTATTACAGCGTTAAAAGGGGAGATGGTGAAAAGTTGACATATCATGGTAAGTACATTATCAGGAAGCATTTGGGAAGATTCTAGTAAAAACTTTTGGTATAAAACAAGTTTCTCTGCAGCGACGAGCTGCAGAGAAAGGTTTCATGTCTGTGGTGCACGCAACACGTGATGTTCTGTTTAGCGCGAACTGTGTCTAAGGCAGCTCAAGTGCGAATTATAACATTATTACCTCACTTACTTTAGCAATAGTTTCAGGAATGATTATAACTATTCATGAATTGTATTAGTCCCTAAATTTAAATTCGTGAGTTTTTTTTTTGCTATTCACATTGCAAGTGCGGTTGCCATGGTTACGAATCAAGCTGCCACCAGGATTTTGCAGTGCTATAAGCTAATCACTTGACTTGTTGCTGAGCAAAATATGGGCTAATCAATTTGTAAAATGCAATTCTTCTACAGGGTTCAATTTCTGGTGTTTCAGCGGGTGCTGTAAACTATACGTTTACTATGAGTTACGCAGTGCCGTACGTCGGCATGCAGCGTAGCATGTCTACGCCTCCGGTGCCCTTGGCTCACAATGCTTCCCAGCAGCTTTATTACAAGCATGCGGAAAGCCATGAAATCAGGCACCAATAAAGCTGCGAACATAATAACGTGATTGGAACCCTGCCAGTAGATAGGTAGCAGTGGACACATCCTTTGTTTTATACTCATTCGCTATCTTTTACGGGTCACGGGATTGATTTGACGAGACATACTGTTTTTGCTGTACTGCATTGGAGCACGTGCTGTACTCTCGTAGCAGATACGCAGCAGTTGTTGAACACCTGCAAGCACATTATCGAGTTTTGTATGGTGTTGTTGAGTGCTCAGCACTGAGACATTCCAGCATGACGTCTTACTATGAGCAATGCCCTTCGTTTTCTCAATTGAACTTTGAACTTTATTATGAATAAACAACATACAGTAAAGAAAAACATGTTAGCAACATCTGGATCCTTAGCAGAATGCTAGTATGGATCCATGCAATTATAACATACATTAATTAGAGGCAGGAGAAAGAGTTGTATAATGAACGACATTTTAGTTTAAGATGCAGATTGTTTTGATAAACATATCACTTATACACAGATACCGAACACATTGAAGAGGAAAAATCCAACTTATACACTACACTTTGAACACGTTTTTGGTTTGCATACTTAACGTAATACATCTAATATTTCTGTACATCTGGTAATAGCATTCCTGGTCAGCATACAAAACATTAGTTTAAAATCATGTCACTTTTCATCATTTCACGAAACTTATCAGTAGTCTAATAGAGCTCTTTGTAATGACGTTTGAGCATTAATGTGAAAGCATTATGTTGTTTCACTTCCACTGGTAGGTTATTCCACAATGACGTTCCAACACTATAAAGTCGTCTTTTGCCATAAACATTTTTAACCAGTGGTTTTAGGAAGTTACCACAATGACGGGCTCTTGTTTGCAATTGTGAGGGAATAAAAAGGGAGCGGTGAAGAGGGATATTGCATGTTAGAGACTTGTACACCATTATTGTTGTTTTATAATGTATTACTAGTTGTAGAGGCATTACCTGGTACTGTCGAAAGAGTGGTTTAGATGAGGCCATATAGTTTGCGTTTGATATAAATCGGATAGCACGTTTTTGCAGGACTATAAGTGGCTTTAGGTATGAATCGTATGTATGGCCCCAAGACTAAATACAATATGAGAGTTGGCTGTGAAATAGGGCAAAATATATTGTTCTTAAAGTTTCCGCATCGAAGTACTGGCGACATTTGAACAGAGTATAGCAGACTGTCGCGAGTTTTTCGCAGAGAGAGTCTATATGTATTTTCCAGCTAAAATGATGATCCAACACAATTCCAAGGTATGTTAAGCTACTTACTCTTTCTATTGTTTCGCCCTCAGCCTGAAGCACACACGAATACAAAGCAATAACTTTGTATGGGGAATGAATTACCATATATTTTGTTTTACTTACGTTTAAAGCCAATTTATTGGCTTGAAAACAATCACAGATTTGTTTCAATTCTTTGTTTGCCATGCTTAAGGCTCCATCGATGGACTCGTGTGCGCAAATGAGAGCAGTGTCATCAGCGTACATGACTGGGGGGAAGTTATGTAATATTGAAGGGAAGTCATTCATGTACAGAGAGAATAAAATAGGTCCCAATACCGATCCCTGCGGTACTCCCGATGTAATGGGCAAAAATCCTGAATTAGTGTTACAAAAATGAACCGTTTGTTGTCGGTTCGTAAGGTAGCTTCTAAAAAATTCCAGACTTCCCCCTCGTATGCCATACCGTTCTAATTTGTTGAGTAGTATATCATGATGTACGGTGTCGAAAGCTTTTCTAACGTCAATGAAGACACCAATCACTATCATGTTGTTGTTTAGGTAGGAATTGACCCTATCTGAAAGAAATAGCACTGCAGTGGAAGTGGATCGATTGCTCCGAAAGCCATGTTGGTTATTTGTTAGTGCAGACTCTCGATCGAGAAAATTTAGAAGCCGTTTCGAGATAAGTTTTTCGAACACTATATTTATGGAACTTAATACAGGTATGGGGCGGTAGTTTTCGGGAAGGCTACGGTCTCCATTTTTGTGAATTGGAACAACCTTTGCGATTTTTAGCAAATCTGGGTAAGTTGACGTGTGAACTGCGTGATTAAAAATTTTTGCTAGAGGGGTACATAGAATGTCTATGAAGTTTTTAAGTATGAATGGTGATATCTCATCACACCCCGCACTATGTTTGCATGGCATAGCTTTAACGAGAGCTACGATTTCCGCAGGAGTTATGTCGATGTATCCAAAGGAATTGACAACTCTATCCGGAACCGTATCGACTAACACATCACGGCAGGAATTCGCAATTTCTTTAGCAATGTTACAAAAGAACTGAGTAAAAGTCGATACCGAAAATTCTGCTGATATTCCCATTATATCTGTATCAGCCATAACGTATTGATTAGGAATAGGTTTTATAACAGAGTTTATAATTTTCCACGTTATCTTTGAATTTCACGAGTTTTTTGTAATTAGCTCGGAATAATATTGTTTTTTACGATTACGGGTAAGCTGCGTTACCATGTTGCGGGCCACCCGAACTTTTTCTTCATAGTAGAAGTTTTTTTCTTTACCAATTGTAAAATATGCTTGGTCATCCAAGGACAAATTGGCTCTTCGTGATACCTTTTTTTTTTGTACGGGATTTTGGATTGTGTAATCGCTTCCCTTATCTTATCACTTAGTGCGGCATATTGCTGATGAGAGTCACCAGAGTCTAGTGTACTGTCATCAATTTCTAATAAGCGTTGTTTTAAACTGCAAAGATTAATCCTATTGCGGTACATTGTGGGTGTGTTCCTAATATTTTCAGATAAGGGAAAGAAAATGGCGGTTGGATAATGATCTGAGATGACTGTATGATAGATGTTGCACTGACTGGTTGTAGGGTCGAAATTGCAAAGTATATGGTCAATTGAAGTTGATGAATTACGAGTTGCCCTGGTGGGTCTTGTAATTACATTATGGAAGCCATAAGAGTTTACAAGATGGAAGTACTCATTGTTTTCATTTTTCAAGGAGTCAATGTTAAAGTCACCACATATGATTATTTGTGAGTTGATGCTGGTAAAATATGCTAGTAATGCCTCGAAATGTTGCATGAAAGTTTGCATGTTTTGGTTCGGAGCACGATAGATAACAGCAATAAAAATGGAGGTTGAATTCACAACAAGAAAGTCAAATTCCTGGAGATAAGAGTAAGAAAACTGAGGGACGAGTTCGCATTGGATGTTTGCTCTCTTAAATAGGCCAATGCCTCCTCCTCGTGCGCGAGAATTTCTAGCAATAGAAGTGAATGAATAACCTGGGATATTCTGGACTTCACCTGATTTAAGCCAGCTCTCCGAAACAGCTATGAAATTGAATCGAAAAGAATTCACCTCTAGAAAAGAGCATAGTGCGTCAATATTTCTGTTCAGGCTGCGCACGTTGCATTGCATCAGAGAACAAATAGAAGTTTCACCGTTATCACTCGATAATTGATTCGTAGCCACCGTCGTGGGCGTTAGCAGATCTTCAAAAGATCTTCCTCAGTTTTAATATGTAGAACGCTTGAATTATCTGCTTTCCTTGCAAGAATTTTCCCGTTTGCAACCCAGGTATACTTCATTTTTTCTCCTTTTTGCGTGCAGTAGCGTTACCAAGAAGCACCTTGTTTTCAATGCACAGATGTTCATTGATATAGACTGTTTCATTTCCTTCATGCCCAAAGTCTGACGGAACAAGCCTATGCCTTTTAGCAGCTTTCAAAACGTTATCTCGCACTGAGCGAGATACAAACTTTACGACCACGTTTGGCCTTTCCCTGTCCTTGCTCGTTACCCGGTGAATTACGGCTACATCTGCGCATGTCAGTGGAACATCTAGTTTCTTGGC